AAAAAAAAAAAAAAAAAAAAAAAAAAAAAAAAGCATATTTGTTAACTATTTGTGTGTGTGTGTGTGTGTGTAATATATGTAAGTTTCCACAGGCTGCTGTAACAAATTACCACAAACTTAGTGGCTTTATATAGCAGTAACTTATTCTTTCACTGTTCTAGCAGCCAGAAGTCTAAAATCAAGGTGTCAGCAGGGTTGTGCCTCTCTGAAGGCTGTGGGGAGAATCCTCCCTTGCATCTTCCAGCTTCTGGTTGCTCCAGGTATTGCTCAGCTTGAAACTATACCACTCTCCAAATTCACAATGTCTTCTTCTTTACTGTCTCCTCTAGTTAGTTTCTTATAAGAACACTTGTCATTGGATTTAGGGCCTATTCTGATAATCCAGGACAATCCCATCTTAATTACATCTGCAAAGACCCTTTTTCCAAATAAGGTTCCATGAGTTAGAACATGAATGTATCTTTTTGGGAGCCACCTTTCAATCCACTAATAAACATACACATACATGAATAAAGTTGGTTTTCATTATTCCTAATAGTTATGTTCTGTAAAGTTACAGCAAACACTGATTTATAGATAGTGAACCACTTGGGAGTAATGGTTCAATATTTGCTAAATCAGCGTTAGGAACAGCTGGGTGTGGTGGCACACGCCTGTTGTCCCAGCTACTCAGAAGGTGGAGGCAGGAAAACTGCTTAAGCCCAGGAGTTCAAGGTAGCAGTGAGCTATGATTGTACTGTTGCACTCCAGCTTGGGCAACAGTGAGACCCTGTCTCAAAAAAAAAAAAAAAAAATTAGCTAAGTCCATACATACATGCACATACACACAAACACATACTGAGCTCATTATTATAATCTTATATTCTAAAAATAACCCATCCTGGTGATTCTCTCTACTTTACAAAAGAGAAAACAAGGCTCATGAGTGTCAAGTGACTTGCCTGATGCAGCTCCACTAACAGGTGCTAGAGTTCAGATTCAAACCCAGTCCAGCTGGCCCCAGAGCCAGAGCACTGCTCTCCTCTGCCCCCTACACCTCCGTTCTCTGGTCGCCTCTGTCGAAGAGCTGCAATAAGAAGGTAGAGTGTTACCTTGTCCTACTTCAGCTGGTAGTAGGCAAGTGTGAAGCAGTTCATATTTTTCACTGCTCTATGCATGTCTGCAAATGACTGTGGATGTGCCTCGGGTATTGATTTGAGAATACAAACAAATTTTAGTGAGTAGGCAAATTTGCAAATAGACATTCTGACAATAGTGAGAATCAATATATAGTGTGTATTTTATATATTTTTGGATTTTTTTTTTTTTTTTTTTGAGACGGAGAAGGTAGTTTTACAAAGTTATAAATGTACTAAATGCCACTGAAAT